CCCATCAGAAATCAATGACCCTGGCACGCGGCGCATCGACAAAGCGGACAGGCCGGTCACTGACCGCCGGGTCACGGCAGCGTGCGTGACGAGGCGGCGCGAGCGCGTGGGTCGGGTCGGGCCAGGCTGGCAGGCCGAGATTCCCCGCGCGAGGAAAAACATTCGGAGTGGCACTTGGTGAGCTTCAGTGTGGCAAGGTAACTTCTCATGTTTATTGCCGACCTCGCATGCGGTGGAACAGAGACAACCACATACACACACACGCTGGAAAAAGGACTACAGGGGAAGCGTGATATACATATCATACATGCTTCTCGTAAGGCACTTGTTGTTCGTTTGTATATGCACATAAATACGTTTGATTCAGATCCATTAACAAATTCTTTGAAGACCTTCAGCCAAAAGAGGAAAAAGCAGATGACAAGTAGTACAAAACTGATCCGCTAGTTTAAATTGTGGCTGATCAAAACCATTTGTTCTCACAAGATTTTATCTAGTTGCAGCATCGTCCATCACATGAATAAGTCCATCACGAGAGCTTAAGTCAAACACACCATTGGATCTCTCTTGTGTACACGAGCCGGCTCTTCTTCTGGCTGGCGGGGCGGCCCAAGATAGCAGCCCGTTCCCAAAGGTCGGGTGAATGCCCAGGACAGCATCCCGTCCCCAAAGGTCGGGTGACGGCAAGGATGGCAGCCCGTCCCCAGAGGTCGGGTGACAGCAAAGGACGGCAGCCCGTCCCCAAAGGTCGGGTGACGACCCAGGACAGCATCCCGTCCCCAGAGGTCGGGTGACGGCAAAGGACGGCAGCCCGTCCCCAAAGGTCGGGTGACGACCCAGGACAGCATCCCGTCCCCAGAGGTCGGGTGACGGCAAAGGACGGCAGCCCGTCCCCAAAGGTCGGGTGACGACCCAGGACAGCATCCCGTCCCAGAGGTCGGGTGACGGCAAAGGACGGCAGCCCGTCCCCAAAGGTCGGGTGACAGCAAAGGACGGCAGCCCGTCCCCAAGGTCGGGTGACGACCAGGACAGCATCCCGTCCCCAGAGGTCGGGTGACGGCCCACATATACCCGTCGCAGCCGACGAGATCGCCATTCCCTTTTCACTCGTTGCTGCGGCGGCAACTCTAACCAACCGCCACAGTCTCTCGCCGCGGAGCGTGGCCGCGCCCGCCGCACACCGCGCCACAGCGACGAGGTCAGCCTGCGCCGAAGAGATCAGCATGCGCCGACGAGGTCAGCGTGCGCCGACGAGGGTCAGCCTGCGCCGAAGAGGTCAGCCTGTGCCGACGAGGTCAGCCTGCGCCGAAGAGATCAGCAATGCGCCGACAAGGTCAGCGTGCGCCGACGAGGTCAGCCTGCGCCGAAGAGGTCAGCCTGCGCCGACAAGGTCAGCCCGCGCCGACGAGGTCAGCCTGAGCCGACGTGGTCAGCCTGCGCCGACGAGGTCGGTCTGTGCCGCCGAGGTCAGCCTGCGCCGACGAGGTCGGTGTGTGTCGCCGAGGTCAGCCTGCACCTCCGAGGTCAGCGTGCACCGACGAGGTCATCGTGCGCCGACGAGGTCAACCTGCACTGACGAGGTCAGCCTGCGCCGACGAGATTAGCCTGTGCCGCACCCATCAGATGGCGGCGGCTGCGAGCAGCGACGCCGTCCAGGGGCTCGGTCGGCTCGCGTCGAACGGCCCGGGGCGGCGCAGCACGCGGGCAGGGGAGCGTGCCGAGACAGAGACAGAGGCGGGATCACAGGGAGGAGCGGCGGCCGGGCGGGCGCTCTGGCATGCTGACCGCTGACCGACCACCAGCCGCGAGCTGTAAGCACCGCTCTTAGTTGCGTCTCAGCCGGCTTGATGGGCTGTTTTCCGTGCCGTTCGGTCGCTGCCGGCAGCGGCGGGGCGCGCGCCGACGCATTATGGGGGCGGCGCTGGACGCGCTCGTCGCTCCGGAGATGGCGGAAGCCTCGGCGGAGGGGCGAGACCTATGGAAGGCGGCTCGGTACCGCCGCCATGAGTGCCACTGTTATGACAGCGAGCAATGGGACCGCTGGGGCTCATTCGCGGAGAATATGCTTGGCGGGTCGGCAATATGCAGTCAGCGCACACCGCTGCCGAGGAGTGCTGCGAACGAGATTGAGAAGACAGGCGGCCTCGATGGGCCATGGAGAGGGACGGAGAGAAAAAACACGGCGTCAGGTGAATAATATCTCACTAAGCTAACGATGCGTGTGGATCAGTTTGAAAAGAAACAGTGCAGCAAAGTTAGATCATAACAAATGTCGAATGTATAACGATCGCATCTAGGATCATTGCAACCTTTAACGTCAACATTCCGGGTCAAATGCGTAGTATCTCTGTTGTGCTCTATCTGGGTACTTGACAGCGACTTCTGCAGGTCAGTTGATGCTGACTCGAACTATCCCCGCCTCCCACCTCCTCACCGCCTGCAATCGATACCCGGCACAGAGCTGGAAACAACCTCCACCCCGGTCGACTACGGCAAGCTCCGAATTAATTATGCCACTCATCGGCTAGCAATCAGGACTGCAACCTGCCGACGCGGCACCACCGCCGACCGATGCCTAATTAGGAGCTGGTGTTCGGCGGATCGCCGGCCGGCCTGTTGGCAGAGCGACCCGGCCATCCGCCGCTGACCTCCCGCCGGCATCGATCCCCGCCAAACGGCTGATGCAGCCGTCTGCTTCCTCCCTCTCCCCGACACTCGCTTGTCCATGATCCATGCGTGCATTTTAAAGATGTGCGCATATCGGCTGTGTTGTCGCTCGAGCTTTATCTAGAAATGGCGAAAGAAGGGTTGCAAATTAGACTCCAATATATTTTGTCTGCTTTTCACGCTCGGGTATTTCCCTCCGTGCCAGAGCAAAGCAGCATGTATCTCGCCATGTTAAGCGTTGGGTACAGGGATTTTCTCGAACCTTGCTCAATACCATGTGTCATCCAATACGTGCACGGCTCAACAAACGCCTCAGGTTTCGTGAGAGGTCGTGTTGCGCCGGTACCATGCTGATTGTAGGGCAAAATAATGCGCGGTTGTCAAAGACGTTCTGAGTAAGCGACTGTCAGCGCTGATGAAGTGGGCGCCTGTGACGCAAAAGAAGATTGCCTGGTAAATATTTATAGCCCACATATGAGGGTCGCTTACCTATAGTCGCGCAGTCACCGCAGAGTAGTGATTAGGGTGATGATCGGGGTCGGAATATTTTGTCCAAATGCGCTTATCTAAATGGAGGGAAAAGGAGAGAGTTAAGCGCACGGCAAAACTGTTAACATTCCGCTTGAAAGGTCGATCACTTATGTATGATATCAAAGTAACGTCGTTATTTACCATCTAAATGGCTCAAGCTCAGAAAACATTTCGTACGGCTTCAATCCGTTGCTGGGAATCTTTCTCCACAAACCGTAGACGGAAACGTGTATGTGAGCCAATTCTTGACTTATTCCTGAACTACCACTCCCACTAAAGCCTCCAACTTCCACAGAGGTCGCTTTCGAAGTCCTATGAGCTGCTGGTGGTTCCTCGTTACAGTCCTACATTTACGTTCAAGTAATTTACCGACATGTGTAACTGATACATGCATTGATGTGTCCTCTGACACCGGCTGTCGCGGGAAATCACAAACGCTACTGATGTAACCAAATGGAGCCAAATGTCGCAGTCCGAACCATAGCAAAGGCAACCTTCACCGAAACTGTTAACGTCGACCTTTTGCTGATCTTTGGGCATCATTGTGCGAAAGCTATCCCATTGTCTTGCATCCGCTTCGCCTCGTTGTGGTTTACTGCGGTCAAACATTGACGGAAGATAACCTCCCACCATCAATGTGCCGCCATTCCTCAAGAGCATCGCAAAATCCTGCTGAGATGCAGCGTAATTAGAGCGTTTAAGTCGGGTTCGCCAACATTTTGCAGGTGTGCAGTAATCAACAAACTAATCAGTATTGATAAGATAATAATTAATTGAATTTTCGGTCCTGGACTATGTGGCTACAATATTTTGTTACTTCCTACCACTTGTGGTTGTCCTATACATCACGATGTCCCCAAACCGGCTAAACGGCAGTCACCAGAGCCACACAATAAAATGTGAACGCGGCCACGTGGCAGGTCCGATGGGTTTAAAATGTCATCACATCAAAAGACATTTGAAGTGGATCTGATCCTTCGAAAGCTGCAGCTTTGCCCATCGTTGCAAGTTATGGGGCATATCTGAAGATGGTTGCTATTGAGGCTTTAACAAGCAAGGCATATTTTCGGATTTCTCCGCGAGTTCTGAGCTGCCCAAAGTTGTCTCAGTGAAGGCAAAGCTCACTTTAGACAGTTGCTGCATAAACCAAATGTCCCGGCACACTCAGCTGTCGCAGCTAAAATGCATCGCCGGGCGGCAGTCATGCGGTCATTGTTTCCTCTTCGAATTAATGTCAGGAAAATTTGCAATGTTTGATCCCTCCAACATACATAGCGTGGGCTTGGCAGTGTGACGTCTACGTTGGTAATATACGTGGCTTCGTGATACAGTAGGCGTGGGACAACAGCATCGAAAAGGCAAACTAGTTGTATGATTCTGGACGTGGTTCCGTCGGAAGGCTTGAACTGCCGCGGTTGAAGTTTCCTCGAAACCATAAAGTGTCATTTAGCCGCCACCCATTTGTGGAGCTGCGCCTCTTGGTTCTCTTTCTTGTAGGTCACGTACAAGAAGCAGGTAAGGTGCTGACCTCCATGACACAAGTGACCCCATCTTGTCCCGACGAACGCTGTAACTTGTCCTGGCATCACCCGGCAAGGAGTTGTCCCAGTTTCAAGTGCCCGATAACGATGCTGAAGATCCACACTTTCATCGACGCGCGGTCGGCCGGCCGTTGCGATCAGTGCAGGTGGAACCAACGGCCCCCTGGCGCCGGCCTGTCTGGACCCAGGTCCGGGTCCGAGTCCGAGTCCGAGTCCGAGTCCGAGTCCGAGTCCGAGTCCGAGTCCGAGTCCGAGTCCGAGTCCGAGTCCGAGTCCGAGTACGAGTACGAGTACGAGCACGAGTACGAGTACGAGTACGAGTCCGAACCCGGGTCCGAATCCGAGTCTGTGTCAGAGCCTTAGTCTGTCAGAGGCCTGAGTCGCCGACCAGTGGCGGCCGTGCGATGAGACCGGGTCAGACTGGGTCAACTAAGCGCAAGATAGGGCATGAGTTGTATACCGGACTGGAACCGCTGGTTTGTGGCAGGACCAGGGCTTTTTCGCTGAAGGAAAGAAACGTGTTATGGCGGTAATTTCTGCAGCGAGAAAGAATCTAAAGATGCGCCGATTGCTCTTATGATCAAAGAAGTGCAAGGTGGCTTTCAAATAACGTTATACCACGAACGCTGTATAAGCGTGTGATATCTAGCATAGCAGTATTCTTAAATATTCTGGGGTATAACTTGACCTGGGAAAATTTTAAATTTAAAGTCACACTTTTACTCTCTACCCTTATCTAGAACCGCGAGGCGCCAACATTCAGAATCCTGTCAGGCACATAAAAAGCGAATTGTTATTTGGCAAAAAAACGGTCGGCATCGTTTTCCGTGACCCACTACCTTGCATGTGGCTTCTAACCCCTCCCCCAGTCCGACCTGGTGCAAAGGTCGCGGGCAAAATTATCCAATGAAATGGATATCGGGCTATTTTATACGTTGGGCTCGGGGAACACGCAACAAGCTTTGGTTCGCAAGAGCTTTAAACTATTCATACCAAGGCCAGTAGTATCAAGCACTAATCATGTGAAACATTCGAGATAAGTCTAGAACTATAAACTACAGAAGCAACTGGGAATTTTCGATGGATCGAAGAAGCGGGACACTGTGAGGGAGCTGCGAGACAAAATTGCGTGTTTTGAATAAAAAAAGGGCAAGCTGCCAATGCGGTATTGTAATTAAAGTCTGCCTTCAGCGCAAATGACCACGAAATACCCTTCCATTGTAACGCACAAAAGCTGTATGTGTAACTCATCTTGAACAGCCCATTTGTTTATTTAAACATCCCTGATCATCACCGCCCCGTCCCCCCTCCCGCTGGCCGGTTTGAAGAACGGTGCTGAATGTGGCTGTGGGCAGGGTAGGTGACGTCAGGCAGCCACGTGCTCGTCCACGCCCCCCCAGCTGGCCGGTTGAAAAGCGGTGCTGAATGTGGCTGTGGGCAGGGTAGGTAACGTCAGGCAGCCACGTGCTCGTCCACGCCCCCCAGCTGGCCGGTTGAAGGGTGGTGTTGAATACGGCGGTGGACGATGTGGGTAACGTCGGACAGGCGGCCACGTACTCGTCGCCGCAATTCAACAACGCATTACTACTCAGCATAGGCCTTCTTCCACGGCTTCTAAGAATAATAACAGGATTCAGGGACAACCTACCATCCGTAGAAATTTTGTATTACGTTCTTTACCTTGTTGTGATGCATGTAAAGATAGGAACAACTACAACGGGTTTAGTGCCCTGGCTTCTCGGGACATTTGACATTCCCGGACATGACGTCCATCCACGCCTTCCTCCATTACCCAACGGCATTGCATCATCCCGATGTTCAACTCTGTTTGCAGTCTATCAGAAGCCTGTCAGTTCCAGGGCTCAGTGTGACGTCACGCCCCTCTCCCAGGCCATGGTACCACTCCCAAGCTCTCCCCGAGTGGCGCATCCTGGGCCAGAGCCTGTGCCCCGTCCGAACAGGCCGCTTAATGACGAGGCAAGTGCCACGGGCGGGCCACGACGACACTACCGCCCACTGACGTCACAGACCCGCTCGCCCCAATCGATCCCTGGAGACGAGGCGGACCGGACGGGGGGGGGGGGGGGGGGGGGCCGTAAATTCGGCAGCGGCTCCCCGCGCGAGCCTCGGCCAGACGCGCAGGCTCATTATTGCCGATGGGTTCCCGAGCAGCCCAGGCGCTGCGGCCATCAGGCCCGACGGCGGCGAGGCCGTATGATTGGGGCGGCGGTGTTTTCCCGGCAGCGGGTATGATGAACGACGTCCTGGACACGATAAAAGCTGCGTGCGGCGCCGTGGCCGGCGTGCGGCAGGCACTCGCCACACGCCGAGCCCGCCAGAGTGTGGCGAGCGAGAAACACGACCTCGGGTCGACTCCTGCACATCTGACGGTCACAAACTGGGAGCGCGAGCTCGCAAACTCCCCATCATGGATGAGCTCCTGTAAGGCCAGTCACGACGGATGCCGCGTCCGACATTTTTTCTATCTTCAGTGTGTGCCCGAGCGACAAGTCACGACCTCAAGCGGACTGATAATTACAAATGCACAGTTCCATGGTGGCTTCAACGCCATGTGCTTTCATCAGAGATGCTTTACTTTAGTTTTCTCGCGTTTGAAAAGCTGGTGACGCAAAATTTAATGTTCCAACGTGCCTGTTCTCAGTTTGTTACAAGTGCATTACCGAGCGTCGAGGAGGCTATGTAAAATGCATGCAGCAATTATGCCATATAGGGTGCCTATAGATATACAACAATCTATCACTAACCACAGAAAAAAACAACATTGTGCTCGTCACTTAGAGCCCGTTAGAGCTTGCACGATTTAATTTGGATAGCTTATAAATTTGACCTATGTTAATTTCAGCTGGCCTCTAGATCAGCCTGAAATGGTATTTTTGTGTCAGGAAAACTTATGTCCCAAACTGCACCAAATAAAATAAACTTATTCAGAAGCATGTAATGAAGGAAAGCCAAAAAGTACTGTTGTGTTAGGCTACTGGTAGAACTAATTTTAAACGGTGGCCTAACCCGATCTGACCATTGTGAAGGAATAAACAAGGTCGGAACAGACTCGGTACAGCCGTAACATTTATTTCTGTGCCCTCAATAAACGTCTTGACGTGTTAACATATACCTTAACTGCATCTAGCAGAACGACCGTTTTGACCTTGACTGAACACTGGTAATCTCACGTTTGACCTAAGGTCAAAAGCTGATGTGCATTCTGCGTGATTGACAATACCTTTACAGCAGTCTCGTTGTTTTCTTGCAGGACGTCTGGAGGCTGGAGATCCCAGGAGAAGTCAACTTCCTTCTGGCCCGGTGCAGTTGTCTCAGACTCCCGCCGGGCGCATGTTAAAGGTGCATTTGCCTCAATTTTGCAATTTATTTGAAACCTCTTTCATAAAACGTGAAGCTAGTCTTCTGCAAAAAGGAAGCCGTCCCTTTTATTGATTAAGTCTAAACCTAACTCGATAAAACAATAAGCTGCTTTCTCAAGCAGCTTAGGGATATTTCAACCAGTACAAGGGCCGCTGACATAGTGTTCCAGACGGTTATGGCCAGCACACTTAAAAACGTATGTTTTTTCTATTAGTCTCATGAACTCTAATCAGATCGCATCGGACGGTCTTCTCACCATCCCTGCCTCGGAATCCACTCGAGATCAAACTAACCGCATATCTAAGGGAGCATATCATCAATATACTTTGACTTGATCTGACAAGCTTAGGGAAGCATTGGAGAAAATCTCTCCCATCCATCTCTATTTTACGTGTAATATATTCCGCCACCAGGGAAGAACAAAACATTACTGACTGATAAGACGTGGATGCCCTGCATATTAATGGAAGAGTTTGAACCCGTTTTGGTATGTTTTCAGCCTTCGGGAGCTGGGTTGGGGTTCGGGGTTGGAGTGCCTTCTTGAACCTGCATCCCTTGGGGAGCCGACCCGGCTAGGCCCGGAGTTTGAACCAGCATTTAATCTCTGTCAGATCCCGAGTCGCTATCGAGCTGTAGGCTAAACATCTCAACACCTAACCGTCGCGTGCCTTGCCGCCTCGTGTTGAGGTTCATCAGGTGACATGTCAGCCTCTCCGAGGCGCAGGTCATCCTCGGGGGCTTGAGGTCATGATTACATCACTGTGGGCATGCTACGGACATTTCCTGTGATGAGGTGCGCCTGTGACGTGCAGGTCATGATGACATCCCTGTGGGCATGTTACGGACATTTCCTATGATGAGGCGCACCTGTGACGTGCAGGTCATGATGACATCCCTGTGGGCGTGTTACGGACATTTCCTGTGATGAGGTGCGCCTGTGACGTGCAGGTCATGATGACATCCCTGTGGGCGTGTTACGGACATTTCCTATGATGAGGCGCACCTGTGACGTGCAGGTCAACGAAGCGATTGCACCATCGATGCACCCGGTCGAGTGGAAAATTGCTACATTTGTTTACTTCCACCGTAAGACTTCGTGTCCCCTAACGTTATCTGTGGCGACTTGCACGGCTTCCGGTCCAGACAACTCAAGAGATCGGCGGCGCCGGATGTTGTCAGCTATTTGATCAACAACTCGGACGATAGCCTGACCAACTGCCTCACGTCAGCACAGACGTCAAAACACGTGACAGAGTCCGTGGCATGTCCCATTCGAGGACAAACTTGGACAGTATAGGAGCGATAGTCATTGCCTCAAAGGCTGATCAAGCAACCGTTGCCAAAAGGCGCACCATAACTCTACCCGTCATTCATGGCCTTGTGCGGGACTTTATTCGTTTCATGACTAATCTTACTTCCATCAGTCACTAATGACATGACATCGTAATACTTGACTAAGGTTGTGTTTGAGCATTGCAAACCAGGTGACAACCTAGGAAAAATCGCACTCTGCAAGTCTTTTCGTAGAAATCCATTGCAACACACCCAAAAATAAGCGATGCAACAACAAGGCTGATTGAGTCAAAAATTTATGCAGTGAGCCTTACGCCATTGCATAACTCGTGTTTGGATTCAGGATTGCGTACTACAACCGTACTCGCTTCAGCGCGTGGGGTCGGCGACAAGCCAGGCCAGGCTCCGGAATCCGTCCCAGCCGGGGGTCAATCGACAATCGACCCCGAGACCGCGCCCACCGTCATGTGACTGCTACTGACCCTCTCCGAGCGTCTTACAGTTCCTCCCGCTCGTGGCGGTGCAGCGGCCAGTGCTGACCAAAGCGTACCCGGCCCAGGACACCAACAGAAGTTCGGCCCAGAAGACCAACAGAAGTCGTGCATAAACTTCCCTGATTTCAGATTACGATAAGCTACGATCCTCGCAGTGCTAGGGAAAGTGTTCTGCGTGATTGCGTCACGGTAACC